AACTTGAGATGATTATACTATGTTTTTAAGAAAGGAAATAAAAAGAAATAAGTTACATGTCATGTGCATTTAATGGTCATTTTGCATTATCACCATATTTCTACTGCGTTATTGCATTATTTGATCTCTTTTTTGTAATGTACATGGATTGTAAGTGCTGTTTGCATTGCGTAAATTGATATCTTTGTTCACTTCACAATAATGTTCAACTTTTAAATACATTTTCAAACTTTTCATGAAAATTAACATGGATCTAGAGGCATGCGGCTTTAAGAAAAAAGATAAATGTATTATTGCTGCAAAATCATTATTATTTGTGGGACATTAATTTTTGTGGTTTTAATTTCCTAATATAATATGTATATTCCTGTTGTCAGAAATATTATTTGCATTTTACTTTTTTGCAAAAATAGACAATCCATGACTTCATCAATATGAACCCAAGAAAATGTCCTTCATGACAAAACCACAAAACGTCACAACCACAAAATTAAGTGAATTTACAGTATGAATTTGATTAATTGATAAATATTAAAACCTTATTTGATATTCTACTATATATATTCTACATTTTCCTTTATAAAGAAAAGACCTTAGGAGGTATTCATGAATAAACCTTGATTAAGGGCATTTAGTTATAAGTGAATTGCAGATCTTTTTGAAAATAATTGAAAAGTATAATCATGTTCATTATAATTCACACTATACTAGTGTATGTCTTTAAAACAGTATCAGATGAGTGAGCGTTTTTTTTTAGCTCATCTGTCACATAGTGACAGGGTGAGCTTTTGTGATCGCTTTTCGTCCGTCCGTCGTCCGTAAACTTTTACTTTAAATGACATCTCCTCATAAACCACTAGGCCAATTTCATCCAAACTTCACAGGAATGTTCCTTTGGTGGTCACCTTTAAAAATTGGACAAAGAATTTAATTCCATGCAGAACTCTGGTTGCCATGGCAACCAAAAGAAAAAACTTTATAAATCTTCTATTAAAAAAGCCCTAAGAGCTAGAGCTTAGATATTTGGCATGAAACATCTTCTAGTGAGTGTCTAATAAGTTTGTTCAAATAAAAGCCCTGGGGTCAAAATTGGCCCCGCCACAGGGGGGTCATTGATTTTCCCTATATGCATAGAGTAAAAACTTAAAAAATCTTCTTTTAAAGAACTCAAAGAGCTATGGCTAAGATATTTAGCATCAAACATGTTCTAATAGTGTTATACCAAAGTTTGTTCAAAGAAAAGCCTGGGGTCCAAAAATTGGCCCCGCCCCAGGGGGTCCATTGATTTTCCCTATATGCATATAGTAAAAACTAAAAAAATCTTCTTTTAAAGAACAAAAGAGTTAGAGCTAAGATATTTAGCAATTAAACATGTTTCTAATAAGTGTCTACCAAGTTTGTTTCAAATAAAAGCCCTTGGGTCAAAATTGACCCCGCCCGGGGGGGTCATTGATTTTCCATATATAATGCATATAGTAAAAACTTAAAAAAATTTCTTTTAAAGAACTCAAAGAGCTATGGTTAAGATATTTAGCATCAAACATAGTTCTAATAGGTGTCTACAAGTTTGTTCAAATAAAAGCCCGGGGGTCAAAATTGGCCCGCCCGGGGGTCATTGAATTTTCCTTATATGTGTATAGTCAAAAACTTAAAAAATTTTTTTGAAAAAACCCAAATAGCTAGAGTTAAGATATTAAGGCATGAAACATCTTTTAGTGAGTGTCTACAAAGTTTGTTCAAAATAAAAGAACCTGGGGTCAAAATTGGCCCCGCCCCCGGGGGTCATTGATTTTCCTTATATGTGTATAGCAAAAAACTTAAAGATCTTCTTTGAAAAAAAACCCAAATAGCTAGAGTTTAGATATTTAAGCATGAGACATATTCTAGTAATGTGTCTAATACAGAGTTTGTTCAAATAAAAACCCTGGGGTCATAACTGGCCCCCGGCCCAGGGGTGTCATTGTTTTTAATTATATGTGTATAGTAAAAAACTTAAAAAAAATCTTCTTTAAATAGCCCAATGAGCTAGAGTTAGATGTTAAGCATGAAACATCTTCTTATGGGTGTCTACCAAGTTTGTGCAAATAAAAGCCCTTTGGTTAAATTGGCCCTGCAACGTTTGGGGGGGGGGGGTTGGGGGGGGCCTATATACAGGTGAGCGACCTCAGGGCCATCATGGCCCTCTTGTTTAGATAATCTTAACAAATTAGTATAAATATAGTTAAAGAAATATTGTCAAGTGCCCTAAATTTGTCTGTGTCCTTGAGTCAACACCATTTCTGTTTATGTCACAAAGTCTTGTCAAATGTACATTCAGAAAGGTCGATAATTTCAAACATCAAAGTAAATTTTATGTATCTCTAAAATTTCTTCAACATTTACTCATTATGAATAAGAAAGGTTGATTTATTTAAAGATACTGTGTATCAAACTAGTACATCTATGATGTATTCAGTCCAAGTGAAAATTTGAATGTTTTATCACACAAATTTAATGCTGCTAGATCTACAAATGCATTCAAACCTCATTCTGTGTATTTTGGCAAGTTAAAGGTAATTAAAGGTGATTAATAATTTCTGAGGATTATCATTGACTTGGCAAGATGAAAGCTCACTTATCTGCATGCTAATGGCAACATATTCACAAATAAGAATTATTCAATGCCCCTTGTTATTTTTTTCCATCAGAAAAACAGTTTTTGTGTGAAAATATCTTCAGATAAGATTAAATACTCTGCCAACGCTCCTATTTACTCAAAACTTTTCTTTTTACTTTCTTGGCTTAAAGACACAATCTTTTTCTGAGTTCTGACAAAACTAGGACATTCTTTTGCCGAAAGGCCCAGACTAATTAATCTGTTTGTACAAGATAGGCTGTTTTATATCCTCCCGCTTTTATGAACTACTAGGCATTAACTGCTGCAAAAATCACAATAAGAGTTCATACAGTAAAGCTGTGTGGGAGATACAGGACTGGTTCTCCAATTTGTGTTTTTATTTTTCCTGCTGTAGACTGATTCAGTATTAATCTCTTATTGACATGTTTGTCTTGTATTGGAAATCCACTTTGCTGTCATCAAAGTCGGGACAATTGTTTCATCATGTTCCATGCCTGATATTTAATGACAATAAAACAATTGGTAGGAAGAAATTTCCAGCTTGTCTGTTTTCTGAACTTTCTGAAACCGTGTAATGTTTTTGGCCCTGCTTTTGAGTTTGGAACAGTCCATTTGGTGTTGAAGAGATTTCAATATCAAAATACAAAGAACTTGCTGAATGTGTACAATGTATTTGTCCTGCTTTTAACTTTGAAACAGTCCATTCTAAGTTGAAGGGATTTTAGAAAGCAACAGTTACTGGTCTGAATCATTGATGTGCAGACTGGCCTGCTCTGTACTTGTGGCAAAGATTTAAAACTTGGTTCTAGTATGTTAAGGGAGTAATTCTTTGCTTTTGTTTTTAATGGCATTTTTGTCTGATGTCATTTAACAGAAGAAAGGGAAAGGCATCTTCTGCTTGGTAAAAAGTAAAATCCATTAACAATTCAAGACAATTAGATTGAAACCAATTAAACTTCACATTTTATGAGTGTGCCTTGTCAATATTTAAGTGCATAATTGGTGTTGAAGTATAACTCTGAAAGGAAATAATTAATTGTTTTCAGAGCAAGAGCTATTGAGATTGAATCATAAGATTAAACAGGATTTGACAATAAGAAAGATAGAAATAAGGAATATAATTTTTCAAATTAATGAAAAGCAGTTTAATTAGCATGACTATTCGAGGAATAAGAAGAGCTGTTGTACTTGTCACGTTTTGTTTAATTTTTGTGGGCAAGTTGTTTACACCAAAACTACTCAAGGGAATGGGTCTGAACTTGACACATTATTACAGAGTATGATAGGAGATCTTTATCCAAGGCCCATAACTCTAACATGAATTTTGACAGAGTTACAGCCCTTTTTTAAATTATTTTCTTTTACATTGTTGAGGGTCTTTGCCCTGAGTTGAATCTGGGACAGTCCATTTGAATCATACTGGAGTTCAATAACATAATACAAAACTTATGCTGCAAGCAGTATTATAGAGCCTAGTTGTAAAGGTGGCAAAGGTTAATCACTTTCGTTTCCTGGACACTTTAACTGAATAATTATCCAAATGGAAGCTGATATTTCATTCAGAGTATATTTTGAAGGAAAATAAAACAGTATATAATGACACCTTAAAGTTCAAGAGAAATTTTGCAGAAATTTGCAGCTTGAAGCTCTCTAGATGTGGTTTTAATTTGTTCCCCTCCTAAAAGCAGCATGTTAAAATGTAATAACTTAGAAAACAGACATTTTATCAAGGGAATTATACTAATCAAGCAAAATTGCATATTGTGAGGCCACGTCTTGGAGCTTTGAGAATCACTGGAGATAGGGATTATTCTTGTCTTAGGAATAAGAATAAATTACTTGTTTATAAAATTCTAATATCTGAAGATAATTTGTGTTTGTTAAAGCTTGTGGCTTTGTTATGAATAAAAGTAGAATAACTTGGGTTTTTGAGTTTAGGTTTATTTGTTTTAAAGAGTTTGTAAAAGTGTAGGTCCTTAAGAACTGGAGACAACATGGTTATTTTTGAATCAGTCTGTTAACTGTTTATTTGAAGAAAAGACAACAACAACAGAAAAAACAACAAATTGAATAATGCAAGAGCGTTGTAAATTTGGTATATTTATGAAATTGATCAAATTACAATAAAGCTTATTACATATAGCCCATACTTAAATCTAGGTACAGGTATTTCCATCTTGTGAAGTTTTACTTAATGTTGTTAATTTTTACTACGATTGGGAAAAGGTACCCATAGAGTGGGCTGCTTAACTTGAACAACTCCTGTTACAAAATGTTCCTGTCAAATTTTCAGATACATGTATGTATTATTGTGTGAACTTAGATACAATACTTGGATTGTAGTCGTTGTTTATTAATATGTTATTTTATATTATCTTTTCAGGGAATGCTCTAGTCAAGTGCGGGCAGACACAAATACTGATGGGAAATGCATATCGAGAGTTTGTTCAAGCGTCTGCTAATAACTTCCTTCAACCATTACAAAACTTCCTTGAGGGAGACATGAAAACTATTATGGTAAAATTACTGCCAAATGATAAAAATTATGAGCAGAAAAATAGTTCCTATGGATGATGTATTAAATAAATGTCTCAAGTAGAGGAACAGTTTAAGAAAGTGAATACAGTAAAACTTTCATTTTAGACCGTTTTTGAACCAAGTAAATTTTAGAATCAACTACTTACTGCAACCAATTATTTCTGGGTTTATGCACATAGCGTGAGAATGTATTATCTTAATTGCATATTTGAATGTAGATATGCTTTGTTGATATTTGCATTTACATGATTCTCACATATTTACATCCCTTCATCACTCTTAAATTGAAACAGAGAGTTTCTCTAAAAACATTTGAGCCTCGCCATGACAAAACCAACAGAATGTGTTTGCGACCAGCATGGATCCAGACCAACCTGCGCATCCGCTCAGTCTGATCAGGATCCATGCTGTTCGCTTACCAACTGTATAACAAGTAGAGAAACTGATAGCGAACAGCATGGCTCCTGATCAGACTACGCGGATGTGCAGGCTGGTCTGGATCCATGCTTGTCGCAAAACCATTATGTTGGTTTTGTCATGACGCGGCTCATTTTATAATTATAAAAATCTGATATTGCTTTCACTGTTATAAACTGAAAGAGAGTAAAGATATGAATGCTTTGTTAAAACCATGCATTCTATATAACTTTCAGAAAGAGAAGAAAATATTAGAAACTAAAAGGTTGGACTTGGACTCGTGTAAAAGTCGGCTCCGAAAAGCTAAACAGGTTGCATCACAAACTCAGGTATGGAAATTCGGTAAAATATTTAATAAATAAAAGTTATTTAATAGTGAGTCAAAGTTAACAGTCTGTGAAATTCTGTGATTTTAAAACCCATATTTATAAACCTGATAGTGAAGAGGCTTAAAGTATATGATATTTTTATTATATATTTGTTTTGAAATTCAGGAATTATTAGAGTGACTTGTTGGTATAAAAGGAGCTTGTGATTCGATGCATATTTTTACACTAGATTGTTAATGGTACTGTATGGTACCTGGGTTTTCAAGTTAAAAGTTACAATACAGTCCAGATATATTACTGATAAATTTCCAGCACTTTAGTCTACATGTTAAACAACTTGTTTTAATATTAAAATTGAGATATTGTGCCATTTGGAAGTTTATCTTTAGCAGTTTATTTGATATCGAAAAATCATGTTGTGAAAAATTTATTAGTTATTATTTATTTTTTGAAAAGTGCTCTTGCCTCAAATGGTCTCATTTAATCAACAAAAATGATGTTAAGAATTGAATTTTTTAAGGAACTTAAAGATAAAATCATGATCATAAAGTAGTTTTAATCTTTGTTTTGAAATATAGTTCTAGCATACTAACTCTGCATATTTTATGTATTGATAGTAAAAATGTTTTACCTCGCATTTACTAAAACCATGTTTAAATTCTCTATTTAAACCCAAAGAGTGGTCAAATGCCCGCTAATAATCCATATGCCAAGATGGAGGTGGGTGTCATAGTCTGCAAGCATGTGTTGCTATGGCAACAAAGTTTTCAGAAATATTTTATATATTATATATTCATGTGCTCATTCCTTTTTCAGTGTTATCTTCTGCTTACATGTCGCTGACAGCAATGTACAGTCAATTTCAGAAACAAAAGCTGTAGTTGTTTTTCTGTTCTTTTGCTTTAAATGTACATATAATAAAGTCACATCATCATGATTGTAACAATGTAGAAAATTCTCAGAATTCAGTGAAGCTTAACTTTCTGTTATAAAAATTTGGATGTCCGATCAATTTGGCACAAATACATCCAGTAGAACTTCTGTGTGTCGAACCCCGATTTCTTGATTTTCCTGATGTGACAAAGCTAAATGAAGCAATATGTTCTACATTAAAACCTATAAACAAGTCGAATTTTTATGTGTACATTTTTTCAATGTGTCAAAGTTTTTATGTGGTCCATAAACAAAAATTTGAAAAAAATATTTACCATGAATAAGTCCATTGATTAATTTGACACATTTGATCTTAAGACATTTTTCTCACCTTTTTGGGCCGATAAAATGATTTCCGATCAGATTGTTTTACAGGTGTTAATTACACAGTTGTGTGTTCTAACAGCCCTTGTATGCATTCAAATGTGTATTTATATGCTCTAATTGTTATCATTCTTCTTTGAAAATTAACAGTACAACTTAGTTTCGTTTGAGAACCTTCACATGATAATCACATGGGATATATTTACTTTAATCTGGCTTAGTTATTGCCCTTTACTTTTGTTATACCTTTTGCAACTCATTTGTAAACATCGACAGCTCAAATAAAGATCGATTCATGAGTCGAAGTACCGATGTGTCGAAGTTTTGACACAAGTCCCTTCAACTTTGCCTTGCAAAAGTTCTACTGTACATGATTAACTAGATTATTCAGCATCTCACATTTTATGTTAATTTAATGCCTTTTGTTAATATGGGAATTCTATTTTTGTCAAAGTGCCAACAAAATGTAAATACCTTCATTATTTTAAGATATTTACTCCATTTTTATAGCAAATTTACTATTTTGTAAGTTCACAAATCAGGCATAATATGATGTAGAATTATCAAGTGCAACTTTAATGTGTCTTTTATATTGTACTATTCTGTCAAAATGAAATAATGAGCTGGAACTTTCACCTGTTTCTACAAAAGGGTCTCAGTAAAAAGTATCAGTTAACATGTTTTTGTTCTGGGATTGACTGGACATTGTCATATTTTTTGTTGAAAATATTTTTTGTAGAGTAAAATGCTTTACATTCCCTGCTCATGTAGTCATGTTATAAAAACTTTTAATAATTAATTCTGCTGTGTATCTCTTTGTAATAGTAGTGTAAGAACTGTAGAAAAAAATATGTATATAATCTTCTTTTTGACTGATTGTTTATTGATAATTCTATACATACCTTTTACAAAAGATTCAATAATATTGTGTAATGAACTGAACTATTGTGATAATCATGTTTAGGGGTTTTTGTGTCGCCTCTACGGAGTAGTGGCGACATATAGGGATCACTTCTCCGTCGTCTGTCTGTCCGTCTGTCTGTCTGTCCGTCTGTCTGTCTGTCTGTCCGTCTGTCCGTCCGTCCGTCACAAAACTTGTCCGGACTACTGCTCATAAACTACTGGTGCAATTTCATCCAAACTTTACAGGAATGATCAGTACCAAGTCTAGTTGTGCATATTGTCAGCATTTTCCGGTTCAATGATTTTTGTCAGAGTTATGGCCCTTTAATAATTTTTAATTTTAAAGTTTGTCCGGACTACTTCTCTTATACCACTAATGCAATTTCAATGAAACTTTACAGGATTGTTCTGTAGCTCAAGTCCTTGCGCATATTGCACGGGTTTTCCGGTTGAATGATTTTTGGCCTAGTTATGGCCCTTTGACAAAAAGGTGTTTTTTTCTATGTGTTGCCAAATACACAAAAGCTTGTCCGGACTACTGCTCATAAACTACTGGTGCAATTTCATCCAAACTTTACAGGAATGATCAGTACCAAGTCTAGTTGTGCATATTGTCAGCATTTTCCGGTTCAATGATTTTTGTCAGAGTTATGGCCCTTTAATAATTTTTAATTTTAAAGTTTGTCCGGACTACTTCTCTTATACCACTAATGCAATTTCAATGAAACTTTACAGGATTGATCTGTAGCTCAAGTCCTTGCGCATATTGCACGGGTTTTCCGGTTGAATGATTTTTGGCCGAGTTATGGCCCTTTGATAAAAAGGTGTTTTTTTCTTTGTGTTGCCAGATAAGCAAAAGCTTGTCCGGACTTCTCCTCATAAACTACTGCAATTTTATCCAAACTTTACAGGAATGATCAGTACCAAGTCTAGTTGTGCACTGTTCGTCTGTCTGTCCGTCTGTCACAAAATTTGTCCCAACATGAAATTGGCCATCATGAGGCGACACATGTGATTACTGATCGCTCTTGTGTTTTAGTTAAAGAAGAAGCATATTTTATCTTACACTACAGATTTTTGTGACAAAAAAAACATGTCATAAGAAATGCAATTTTTTACCAAAAATATACAAACAACATTCATCTGTCATAGATATGATTGTAGAGAACAGATGAAAGCTTCGAGTTTGTTTGTGTCTGAATACAGTTACAATTTATGTCCAAAAGATCTGACATATATTTGTTAGCCAGAATGATATTCTTTTTCAAGTTTGCAAGTGTATCAGATAATTTAGAGAAGGAAATCTTTCTATCAGGAATTTATTTACCCAAAAATAGCAAATGGTGTTAAACCATCAAAGGGTGATGTGTAACTAAATTGATAGACTTAATTGTCTTATCCTAACAAGTTTATTTATATTGTTTGTAATAAGATCTATTACATTTCTAAATGTGAAGCGACTTACCCAGCTGACTTTTTATAATGAACTTGACTTTCTTTGAATAACAAATGATCCATTTTGAGTTTAAGCAATTTCAATTCTAAAATAATAAAATCATCAACAGCCATAAGTTTTGAACTTGGTCTGCTTGCATGAACGAGCAGACAGGCCAGGCACTGTACCGGTAGCTATAAATAGTCAGGTCATTATCAAGATTAACATGGTGTTTCTCCAGCTTGCTGCATAGACATGCATCATTTATTTGCTTAAAGGCATTTTAGATAGAATAGCGTTAATTTAGTACTAACATTTCGTCTACATAGGAACCTTGCATTGAATGAAAATGTATGTTATGCCTATTAATTTTACTTGTAAAAATTTCAAAAGAAAAAAAAGCAACATTGTTATGCAAACAGTGTAATATAGAAAGGGAATGAATCATGCTGGCATTTAACTTATTGTTATGGAAGGATTTTTAAAACTTATATAAATGCAAACTTGAATTATTCTAAAAAAAATTGTGAATTCAAAATCTAAATAGAAAAGAAAGTATGCAACAAATGGCCTTTAAGGTTTATATCATTTTGGTTCTTCGTGCTTGTAGTTGTAGAAATTGTATTTTCTATGTAAAACATGGATTTCTTCTTCCTATACATGTCTTTTAGAATTCTTTTTAAATCTTATGACTGACTTGAACTGAAATTGTTCAAACTATGTTTGATGATAGTTTGAAGAAATTAAATAATTATTTTAAAATCAAGGGGGCTAACTCTGATATTTTAGTAGGTCAGGTAAGAAGGGAGGTAACACTGTTTTTGGTAAAGTGAAACTTTCTATTATACTTGATGTAATGGGGACCTACTAATGTCATTTTAAAAAAAAAGAGACAAGAATAGGGGCAAGGGGCAAATTCTATTTGATATGGGAGGGTTGGGTGAGAAGGTGGCTTACTCTTTGACATTTTGATAAAATTGGTCAAGAAGGGAGCTTACTCTTAACATGACTATGAAATTTAACAATACAAGGGGGCTAACTCTGTTTTATGTTTTAACCGTTGTTTGATGTATAACTGTGTTTTTCTTAGAGTCCCCAGCAACCGCCTCCTGTTCTACCAGCAGACAACCCATACGCTGCCATGGAGGTCTGGCTTCGTGTTGTATCTAATGCTAGAGCATGGTCATGAAAATTCACATCCTAAATTGTCAACTTAAAAAAAAAGAGAGAGAACTCTTGAAAAAATTAATACTCTTTTAAAGAAAGGAGCAATTTCTGAGAAAACCAAGGGAAAAATGAATATATTAAAAATACTAAAAAGATTTGTGCAGAATGAAATAAAGCGAAGTATATTAAAATATAATATCATGATAAATCAATGTAATATGTAAATAAATTTTGATGTCACATCATTTTGATATTGTCTTAAAGAATATTTCCATCATTCTGCAAAAGAAAGTACTTTTCAATAATAAATTCACTTTTCAAATGGTTTGACTGCTTCTTTGTGACATTTCATAAATTTTTGTAAACTATGGAATATTCATCATTGACAATTGGAGATAGGGAAAAACCCTTAAATGTGAATTTTCAGGACTATGACCAGACAAATTATCAGTGCCTCCTGATTTAAACCCCACTTTATTCTAGCTTAGAGCTTTATTTGTGACCCAAATTTTGTTCATATTAAACTCACTGATCATTTTATTATTCTGTTAAATTGCTAGGTTCAGTTTCGATTAATTAATTGATTTTTTTTGTTGATGTTTTGAGTTAATTTTTATTAAAAAAGTGGATATATGTTTTAATAGGAGAGTTTAGGATATTATTTTTGTTGTCAACAACAGTTCAGGCTGGTATTTGTATAGTTTAGAAAATGAATATGCATACTATGATAATATATGTTTTGTTAAATTTAAGTACACATACAAAATATCACTAAATTTGTGCACTATTTTATCACAAATTAGGTTAATTTAATTTATTTATACAGTTTTATTTAAACATTTTGAAAATTCAACTCGCACTTTAATGAATTATTTCTATAATCCAAATTCTGTTTGTTATAAAGTTTCATAGTAAAATTTTATTGGAAGATGAAAATTTTGAAAATGAAAATGTTTTCCCCTGAAATTAATTTTCACGGTGTAACTCAGAGCAGGTGTAACATAAATTAATGAAATATTTGATATTTTAGTATTTAATAAAAATTCTTGTTAGAATTTGTAAAAAAAAACAAACCACAACAAAAAAACAGTTGCATTTAAGTATGAAAATATTATTTGACAGAAGATGATAATTTTCAGGAGAACTTCACCATGATGTGAAATGTTATAAAGATTTTGAAGTTTTTAAATAGCAAAAATTAAGTTAATCTGGGAAAAAATTAGTGTCATTTAGTAATCAAAAGGTGAATTTTGAGTTATTATTGGCACCATTTTGGGAAAAATAGGAACCCAACTTGTCTAAAATAAGTAAGATAATACTGTAAATTCAACATTTATTTAAAGATATACTGACAAGATAATACTCTTGTGAAATCAAAGACAAATTATGTATTTACTCATCTACAAGACTGATCATCATTCTATAAGTTGGGTGTAAATTTTACATTTACATTTTTTCTTTGACCTTCATACATTTTTTCTTTGACCTTCATATTTTATCTATGGAATGTTATGATCTACTTATAAGATAATTTGTATAATGTAACTCTTAATTGAAGGGAAAATCCCTATTATTAGCATTAGATATGATGAAAAACTTGTTTGAAATCCCAGTTGTATATTTTTACTAAATGATTAAAAGTTTTGGTAAAAAGATGTTTTACCTTTTATTAAATATAGAAAATATTTTCACACTTGTTAATGATTAAATATACATTTTCATAGCTTCTAAGTAATACTATAATAAAAGCATTCTTTAAAAAATATATTTTATTGGAAATTTATGATTTTTTTATCTCTAAAAAGTGTTTTTTCAATTTTTCTTAATGCACATAGGACGATGTTATTGCAAAAGTAAGTTATTTACTTGTTGTGGTATTTTGTGGGTTTAAAATAATGTTGTAACAATAAATGCATGCATTTATTTTTTGACTAAGGTTTAAAATAAGGCATGGTACTCCATCCTATGCTTATTATGTATTTTGGTTTAAGTCATTTATTTGCCTCCCAAAATTTTAGCTTGAGTTTTAAAGAAAACACAAAGGTTTGGTATACATTTCATAGAAAGTCCTTACAAAAATGATTGTTTTTATGCATGTAGCCAATTAATCATTGTACAACATTGTACCACAGTGACATACCTATCATAAAATGTTATTTGTTGTATGTTTTTCTTACTTACTTATTATTATTGTAATCACTTACAATTTATCAATTAAAACTGGTTGTTCAGATATTGCCAAACCCCGTTTGTATTATTTTTGTATGAAGTTAATATACAGTTAATGGGTACAGATGTTAATTTACTATGGTTTGGTCTTTTATATCTAAATATAGAAGCATTATAATTTTAAAGAATAAATTATTCAATCTTGGCAAAAAAGCTGTTGTTAAAGTTTTAGTATTAACACATTTTAATATCTTAAATACTTTCTCCTTTAATTGTGACATTTAGTTTAAATTATGTAAACAGCATAATTATATCCTATATAGATTCTGGTACAAATTAGTTTAAAAAGCTGGATTTTTGTCTTGTTTGATTTGATCCCCTTTCACTTCAACTAATCTAGTAGAATTTCTAAATTATGTATGGAGGTAACTATGAAATATATGTAGTAACATAGTTGCACTAGTGTTTTGCATGGTGGGAAAAATTGTAGAAGACAATAAATTGCATGTCAATGATTAAAGAACAAAAATTGATAGGTCTTAATAAAATAAATGAACAATATAAAGCTTGAATAGTTTTATAAATATATAATATTCATTTTGTTAAGATCTAAAATGTGCCAAAGCTTTCACTTTTGGTTCCAGTATATTAGGATTGAAATTGAAAATTCTTTTTCAAAATGTTTTTGTATTTCCTTCTTCCTACAATCTTTTTCTTAACTAGGATAAGCAGCTTTAGCATAGACTGAACAAAATTATTTTAATAAGAAACTTACTAGAATTATTGGTTACTTTGCATACACCTGTTTCTGCCTGCTTTACTGTCTTGCTAGAAACTGTACAATAGGTGAACTAGTATTTTCTGCTAGAGCTGTCATTGATAGAAATAATATTGATACACATTATCATTGACCCAAAACAATAACAGAAGCAGGTGCCCTGTCAAAGGGACATGTCTAAAACTACAACATCATTACTTGATGATATTACTTATTGAACAACTCCACATTTCCAGTTTTCATTTTCTTGTAGTTCTTAGTACTAAATGGTTGACCATTAAAAAGGGCAAGTCATTCTTGCCAAAAAAAAAGCTACAAAAAAATGCTCAATGGTTATTTGGGTTTAGGCCATAAGTACACATTCAAGCTTGATTAAAACAGTTGTATAAAATATACTTCATTTAGCTTGTTACAATGTTTGTATCTACCTTTTACTCTCAGGAGATTGTTATTGTTGTTACTGTTGTATTTTTCTGGTCTGAAGGAATCACTGATACCAAAGTTTTTACTCTAAAAGATGTCACCTCAAACAAGAACCTGTTCCAAATAAGAAAAAAAAGACCCCAGATCAAGAAATTTTATTCAACTTTCTCATAAAATGAGATGATGTTGAAAATGGCCTTACCTGTTATTTTTAGACATGCACTTAAAACATGTCAATAAAAGAAATTGCTTTATACATGGCGAGACAAATAAATGTCTGTGTTCAAAATTGATGACGATAATGAAGGGTCACTTTGTTGCACTAGACCTTGCACAATATCTTATTGCCTGCATACCACATCAGACCATTTGATAAGACAGACTAAGGATATATCAGTCTGTGGCTTGGATTAAATTTTATTAATCAAACATTCAGAATGATATGTAATTATATAGGTAAATACATTTACTTTACATAATAAGTTTTTATTGTGGAAAAGCTGTCATGTTTGATGTAAAGTATATGGGCAGTGACAGGCAACCAAAAATATTTTCAGAGTCACTTGTCCTCAGGATGAGTATCTTCTAAATCTTAATGTGTAGGCATTTTGTCTTTCTTTTAAATTCTATTTGTAAATAATTACGAGCCCACAAGTAGAATTTTAGATCTCTGATTGATAATTATAAGTGAGATATAGACAAAGTTCTTCCTTTATGCTTTAATTTGGAACATATTAAAGAATCCCCACTGAGTTTTTTGACGAGATGGGCTGAAAATAATTTTTCAAGACTTATGTTCCATTTGATGAAGGTCTAGACCAATAGAATATGGCAAAGTTTCAGATAATTCTTATTGTGAAAAATTGACTCATAAATTGAAAAGCTTTGAACAAATGGTGCTAAGAATAGAACAAAAGTACAATATTCAATTTATTTCAGACTATATTTCTGATTTATCTGTGCATATCTTCCTGTTGTAAGTGCCCCAGCTGATCTATGTAAGAAGATTTTTTAACTTTAGGGTCTCGTTGGAGTTCCTTAATTTTGTAATAATTTGAAGATAACTGACAAAAAATTTGAAAGGGAGATTAGCTTTTACAAAATATATATGAAAAGTTGCTATCTTGAAAAAGCTATCATTATATTATTGCACTAGACAATTTTTAACCTCAACATATAAATTACAACTTTGCATATGGGGAATAGCAGTGACTTTGACTTTTGGACTGTCAAAACCCAGCTATATGCTTCTGTTCTGCCATAACAAAACCAAAACATTCGCCCAGTAGTGTGGAGATACGCCGAAGGTAAAAACCTTAAGCACATAAATCTCCCACTGAGGCCTGGGATTGAAATGACCTGGTGCATTAGCTCTTTCAAAGTTTTATATTATAAAATGCACCCTTAAATTGACTGTAATAGTCAGTTAGATTCAACCAGTGTTAGACAAACTGTTAAATAGGTAATACTGTTTTGATTGAAGGATTGTGTTCCAGTGATTCCAGTGGCTTGAATTGAACATAATGATTTTATCTAACATGTAAATATATTATGAGAATTTTTACTTTGTTTCAGGCAGAAGCAGATTTACGTCAGGCACAGTCGGACTTTGATAGACAAGCTGAAATCACTAAACTTTTTTCTTTGGGAAAGGGAAAACAAAACACACATGTGAGTTTTGGGAAAAAAAACTTTTACTAGTTTTCTTTTTGCCCAAAGGGTTGGGAGAATGTTCCCTTTCATCTTATGAAAATATATTTGGGATGTTTGATAAAAAATGCATTAAATCTATTTAGGTGTATTCTACACAAAACTTTTTGAAAAGGGCACAAAAGGGGCAGCCCATCATTTTTTGAAATGTCATTGTTATGGTTTTTACCAATGTTTCTAATATTGGTTTATAAAACTAAGCTCTGCATTCCTATAAAAGAAGGTTCACAATGACAAATATTTAAGGCTTTCTTTGACTGAGTTCCTATGAATACTGTCAAGAGTTACTTGCCCCTGGTTTCAGTGGTGTTCAATCGTGCCAGCCATGTATAAATCTCCTAGTGTGTGAAGCAGTTTTTCACCATTTCACCATCTGAGTTAACAGGTGTAAAATTAAAGGTAGCCATAATTATGTGATTTATGAATTTTATATCATTTTCAAAAAATAGAGACCAAAAAAGGAAATACAAGCAGATAAAAAGGGGAAAAACAAAACAATAACTAACAAATTATCAGTCTCAATAAAACTTAGAAAACTCAAACTTGATTATGAGATCAAGCTTTCTTATTTTAAAATTTTGACCAATTTCTTTGTCATACGTATGTCTTAATGCTTCAGTTATCAGACAAAGTTTTCTATTTTTAGGCTCACCATCTTCGGTGTTTGAATGACTTCATTGAAGCTCAGATGACATTCCACTCTCAGAGTCAGCAATATATGTCTGATTTACAAAAACAACTTGGCAGGTATGTGTAGTTATAAATATCTGATACATGTTGCCCATATGTCAGCCATAAGTCTTCTTTTTTTTTTGTTTGATTTTTAGCTCACCTGTCACAAAGTGACAGGGTGAGCTTTTCTGATCGCTTTTCGTCCGGCGTCCGTCCGTCCGTAAACTTTTACTTTAAATGACATCTCCTCATAAACCACTAAGCCAATTTCATCCAAACTTCACAGGAATGTTCCTTTGGTGGTCACCTTTAAAAATTGTTCAAAGAATTTAATTCCATGCAGAACTCTGGTTGCCATGGCAACCGAAAGAAAAAACTTTAAATATCTTCTTTTAAAAAACCATAAGAGCTAGAGCTTAGATATTTGGCATGAAACATCTTCTAGTGAGTGTCTACCAAGTTTGTTCAAATAAAAGCCCTGGGGTCAAAATTGGCCCCGCCCCGGGGGTCATTGATTTTCCCTATATGCACATAGTAAAAACTTAAAAAATCTTCTTTTAAAGAACCCAAAGAGCTAGGGCTAAGATATTGAGCATCAAACATGTTCTAATAAGTGTCTACCAAGTTTGTTCAAATAAAAGCTTTGGGGTCAAAATAGGCCCCGCCCCAGGGGGTCATTGATTTTCCCTATATGCATATAGTAAAAACTTAAAAAAATCATCTTTTAAAGAACCAAAAGAGTTAGAGCTAAGATATTTAGCATGAAACATGTTCTAATAAGTGTCTACCAAGTTTGTTCAAATAAAAGCCCTGGGGTCAAAATTGGCCCCGCCCCGGGGGGGGGGGTCATTGATTTTCCCTATATGCATATAGTAAAAACTTAAAAATCTTCTTTTAAAGAACTCAAAGAGCTATAGCTAAGATATTGAGCATCAAACATGTTCTAATAGGTGTCTACCAAGTTTGTTCAAATAAAAGCCCTGGGGTCAAAATAGGCCCCACCCCAGGGGGTCATTGATTTTCCCTATATGCATATAGTAAAAACTTAAAAAATCTTCTTTTAAAGAACTCAAAGAGCTATGGCTAAGATATTTAGCATCAAACATGTTCTAATAGATGTCTACCAAGTTTGTTCAAATAAAAGCCCTGGGGTCAAAATTGGCACCGCCCCGGGGGTCATTGATTTTCCTTATATGTGTATAGCAAAAACTTAAAAAATCTTCTTTGAAAAAACCCAAATAGCTAGAGTTAAGATATTAAGCATGAAACATCTTTTAGTGAGTGTCTACAAAGTTTGTTCAAGTAAAAGACCTGGGGTCAAAATTGGCCCAGCCTCGGGGGTCATTGATTTTTCTTATATGTGTATAGCAAAAACTTAAAATCTTCTTTGAAAAAACCCAAATAGCTAGAGTTTAGATATTAAGCATGAAACATCTTCTAGTAAGTATCTACAAAGTTTGTTCAAATAAAAGCCCTGGGGTCAAAACTGGCCTGGCCCCAGGGGTGTCATTGTTTTTAACTATATATGTGTATAGTAAAAACTTAAAAAAAATCTTCTTTTAAAAAGCCCAATGAGCAAGAGCTTAGATGTTTAGCATGAAACATCTTATTATTCTACCAAGTTTGTGCAAATAACAGCCCTTGGGTTAAATTGGCCCTGCAACGTTGGGGGGGGGGGGGGGCTATATACAGGTGAGCGACCTCAGGGCCATCATGGCCCTCTTGTTATTTCTTTTTTTTTTTCTTTCTATTGGAAAACAAGCACCAGCCCTCCTTTTCTGGAGTTTTAAAATGATTTGTGAAACTGTGTAGGAATAGAGAAGGCCAGATCTTAAATCTTTTTTTCTGAAAGGTCAAGGTCATTCTTAAGAGGTCAAAGGTGAAAAGAGATAGATAAACATGTTGTAATAAAGAAATGAGGTACCTGTGAAAAGCTTAATGTTATTTTTGTGGGAAAATATATGAAAGATAGTTGCATGTATGTTAGGTTTCCAGTTAGACTTATGGCTGAGGGATTTTTATGTATTTTACCAGCTTTGAATGTAGTTGACAATAATAATTCTGCTTTTGTTGGTTTGTTAAACTAAATAAATGTTTTTCTGAGAGCTTTTATTAATATAATTATATTGGCTGGGTAAATGGTCAGAAATTATGTTGTAGTTAAACTAGGTTTAAACAAATAATTTCATGAAAAAAGTTGTAGGGAACGATTCCATCATTCCTACATTAAAATTGTTGCTAAATCTTATAAGGTCAGGTTTCAAGAAATTGAGTTGGAAATGAAATATAATAAAATTGAAACTTTGTCCTTTTAACAGATTTTCTGTAGGTATACTTAGAAAATTTTAGAATTTTTGATAGAGCTGCTTAGAAATAAGCAATTAGACTTTATCATTTTGATAGGGGAATTCTGAAAGATAGTAATAACTAATGAGTTACAACATTAAAGCAATGACTATTATAAGATTACTTGTATAGGTGGTTCTATCTTTCACTGGCACTGGTGTTGGCTTTACACTTGGTTACAGTTTTTACACAAGACTTTATTTCTAATTAACAACTGAAGATATTCACCTTAATAATTTATATGTCATGTCTTTGTCATGATAGTAGGTGACAGAGCAAGACCCATAACTCTTACACAGATTTTCATTGAATTATTCCCCTTTGTAATATATTAAAAAAAATCTGGCATGGCTTTGGTTTTATTCCAAAGCCTGTAATTGGGGAATCTGTCATTAGACCCCTTTGTGTCCACTTTGATAATACAGATAGCCAGTATCTTCTAGTTACACTGAGGCACTAGCACATTTAGCACATTGTACTGGATGGGTTCTTGGAGATATAACTTATATACATGTAAAGGTATTGATATTATTAAAATGAAAACATTTCCTAAGTTAGAAATATTTATGTACATATATATGTTTAATCCATCAAACTGTCTTGTATATTCAACAAAATGTGGTTAAGTTGGATGATTTGCCTTTACAAAGAATGTTTGATGAGCAAATGGTACCGCTTATAGTGTTATTTATTTAATTGATTGAATTTGGCTCAGTAAACATGGGTAATTGATGGAAGGAATGCTTTATATTATATAGATTTCATTTTTGGTGTATTTGAAAAATATATGTTTACTATGAACATTGTGACCTGAAAACATGTTATAAAAACATAACATTTGTAAATATGTAAGATATTTTAAAAGTAACGTATTTTTCAAGTAACGTATTTTTCAGGTAACGTATTTTATTGCTTTCAGTGGGGAGGAATCTAACCACACTTTTGTAGAAGCTTTCTCTGAACTTCTTCAAACTAAGGACTCTTCTGAGTATATTGAATATTTTGGGATTAGATATGAAATTATATTTTGAAAGGGGGACGTCCAGTCAATGGAAGGGTCTCTGTATGGTTAATAAGATATTCTGTAACCTACATGACACTTGTGAGGTCATGTCTCAAAAACTTGCATTATTATAGTTACTGTAAAATGCTTTTTTAAATTATAATAAAATGTATTTTTAAAAAAGAAATTGAAAGAAAAAAGAAATAGTGAAATAGAAAGTTATTTTGTCATTTTATTAAAAAGAATATCTTTCTATAATTACGTTAAGATGTGTACATCAGTATTTGTACATTTTTTCAATAAAAATATATACAGAGAGCCTTACTTGATCAGATTTTCTTAACATTTTTAATTTTTCAGAATGTTTGTAGTATTAAGATGCAGTAAAACAAACTTATTCAAAACTTTTGAAGGTTGTATCCAAATTATCTGTAAACAAGTAATGAATATCAAGTGTAAAATATAAAGTGAATGGACTTTATAATGATGATTTAATACATTACTATCATTTGTGTTCGAGTGAAGCATTTAGTGGGCAAGGTATTAAATGTTTAACAAGTGTAAGAGAAAGCTTATAGAAAACATCTGAGTTTTAAGTTTTTTTATTTGCATAGAAAGTATATTAATTTTTCCCTCGCTTTTCTGTTTCTATCCCTATTAGAACAAATAGAGCAATAGTCTGATTTTTCTTAAAGTTACATTTTTGAAATTGAAATTTGTGGTTAATATTAACTAATGTAAGACTTAAGAATACAGATACAGATTTCAAATGATTGATGGTGTTTTTTTTTCTAGACTGAATATCCGATTCTTTGCAATGTTTGGTTTGTTTTGTTTAAGTCTGTTTTACTGTATCTAATCAAAGTTTTGGGCTTTTCTCCAAGTTACTTTTTTTGGTGTTGATGTAAATTTTATGCATGTTTTATTCATCGCTTTTTATTTGCAGGGACAGTTGACAACTTTTGTATGTACTCATTCAAAATGGAAACGGAATAAAAAAAATCCTATAAATTTTTCCCATTATTATCTTTTATTAATCTGATGACCTTCAGGTTGTCATGGTAACATGAATTTCTCTGAGACCTTGACACCAATACACCAGTCACTTTTTCCTGACTGTATCACAAGAACATATCTTGTATCTTATTGTAAAAGTAATATTTAGTGTTTGTCCTATTGTTGGGTATTTCAAACAAATAAGTTTTTTATTTTAAAGTCCTTTTAAGTTAATTTTTAATTTTTACCCTTTTGGAATTAATACCCCATTTCTATTTATAGAAAAACTCTGAATTTTAAAGGCATACAATATTTATATTGAAATATAAATAAAACCTCTTAAATTTGATGACCGGTTATTTAGATGCTTTTTACAAGTCCAGATGTGTATGGGGCAATTTAAGGGTTTGTTATGTATTAATAATAAATGTATTTGACTGTATTCTGTTTTTTCCTTCAAACAAAAAGCTTTACTGAAGTAAATATGGAGACCCAGACAAACATGGCAAATCAATTCAACAATCCCGTAACCAGTCAAAATAATTTTAGCTTTGAGACCACTGGTAATTATGGGAACCAGACTAATTATGGGAACCAATTTGGCAACCAATATTGAAAAAAGACTGGTATGGTAGTGAAAATGTTGTGATCTATGTCAATATTTGCTATTATTGTACATATGTATGTGTGATTTTTTTAAGTTGAATTTTTGATGGTTTAAACATTTTTGTGGGTTTTAATACAGTTTTTTTCTCTCACATGAATGGCCAATTTTTTTAGAACAGTAGCAGTTATAAAGTCAAGGTTCACAAATTATGTGGATAGGAAATCATTGGACAAAACTCCACTAGTTTTCACAAGTCATTTAAACGAAGTCCTTTGATTGTTTAAATATATTGTTTCTTTGGGTATCATACAATATCATGGAATTTTGGACTATCCTGGTCCCTGGGTATGAAATTTCAAGGAAGACAATGTTTCAGAATTAATTGTCTCTGCATTTAAGAAAATAAACTAAGTTGATAGAGAGTTTAGAATTATGGTTATATATTTTTTAGATATTCTTTTTATGGGTATTTAGGCTCAAGCTTTATTGTTGTCAACAATCATGATGTACTGAAAACTTAAATTTGTATGCTTGTACTGGACAAATTATCACTTGAAATTCTTGTTACCAAAAAAGCGGAAAGTTCAGTTTAGAAAAAAAATAATTCTGAAAAATGTGTATATCCTGTTAATAAACCCTAACATATAAATGTCTTTTTGGTGATGTATTAATGCATTGGAGGTTTTAAATATATCAAAGGAGTTTGGATTCTTTCATGTAAAATGGCTATCCAGCTAGCTTATCAGTTGGTGATGCTTATAATGCAGGTGCATGCTTCAGCCTGAAATAATGTATAAATGGGCACTTAATTACCTGATGTCTTCTTCCGCCAGTAAAGCTGAAAATGGGAAAACCCTTAATTTCTTTTTTGGCTTAAAAACCAAAAAGGAAACAATAAATGGTTTTTCCAAAAAAAAGGGGGTAACTTTTAAATAAAAATTTGGCAAAAAATTAAAGCTTTTAAAATTTTATTTAATTTCTTTTGGATTTTATTTGACTTTTATTGAATTTGGGTTGGTAACACATTATTACTAGTTTCCCGGGGGATATAATTTTATTAATTTTTTCCTTTTTTTGCATGAAATTTTTTTTTTTTGTTTTCAGTTTCCAGCAGTCCGGGTTCAGGGGCTGGTTCCAATCCCAATAACCTGGGTTTGAGCTCTGGCAATAACTCCACTTTGACTCCCTCTGCCCCTCCCGCTATACAAGTCACAGCTTCTACACCTGCCACCGAAAAAAAGCAAGCACGAGTCCTATATGATTATGATGCTGCAGATTCTTCTGAATTATCTTTATTAGCGGACGAGGTACTTCATGAATATTCATAGCGATTAATTAAGCATTAATATTCATTTTTGACACAAAAATGCGTATAATTAATATAAAAGTCAATAAATAATGAAAAGAATATAAAGTCATGAAAGATCATATAATTGAGATTGAATATGCAATGGAGATGTTCATATGAATAATTAATGAAATAAGCCAGGAGACATATGATTAATATTCATATAATCACCAATAAATATTCATATCATCATAATTTATTCATAAAAGAGAAGTGATATTTGTAACTTACCTTGATGTTTTTGTATGAAATAATGGAATTTACTTCATCATTTTAAAGCATTGCTATTTAGTGATTGCTTCAGTTTTAAAGCATGCTGAGGACTGATCTTTGGTTAAAGGAAATTTAAACACATCTGATTGGTTGATTGGGTCAACCGATGATATCAAGTCTTTCTTATTTAGGTGTATTAATGGTAAAGGTTGGAATTTTTCATTCACAAGCATGCTTTTAAGTTAAACCTTTTCATATCTGATTTGTTGAAAATAAAAAATGAAACAATGAAATTAAAGTTTTCTTATTAAGAATGACTGGAGAAATTAGGGTGTTGTTAATATACTTGAGCTCCCGGCCTGATTTTCGAGTTGAATCTTGAATGTGACTCATGCTTTTGTGACAATTCAGCCAATTTTTTTATTTATTTCCTCAACTGGTAATTTCAATGGAACATCTCAAGTTAATTGTACAAAATTGCAGCACTTGTTTAGTTAATTGCCAATATGTATATGACTATGTGCTTATATTGGGACTTAAAATTTGCTAGAATTTTGGAAAAGAAATTTATTATTGCAGTAATGAGGATAATAGTAAGAAAAAGTGCTTTTGAAAATGTCAAATTTAATAGAGGCAAACTAGAAATTTAAGGATACATAAATTTTACATCCCATACTTTATGAAATAAAAAACACAAACATTTAAGACATTCATTAATGAAGGCTATGGTTTAAACATTTGTTTTCTTTCTTGTTTGTCTTTGTTTTTTTTTACTCAATTTGATTACTTTTATTTAGTGCTAGTTTGTAATGTTGATGTAAAGACACCTATTTCAAAATATTTTGAAGCATTCTTAATAACTACCAAAAACAGAATTGCCCACATTTCAAACTAGCACAGTTATTTTAAGTGTTCTGCATTCTGGTAATTGTTGTTAACTTTCTTCTTCTTTTATTTTTTTTTATTTAAAAAAAATGTAGTCAGAAAGTTAAATGAGTAGAGGAATGAAATGTAATTAGAAAAATTGTAATGTTAAAATTAGGATAAATATACCACAGAAATTGCATTATATTTTCATCTTTTTTAAATAGCTTTATAATTCATTGTTAAAGATGAACATAGAAGCTCAGTTTTAAATTTAGTGCTTTAAGAATATATTTTGATAGCTATTATTTTAATTACTGCTTAAAATAATAAATTGAAAAATGATTGCTTTTAAAACCTTTTTTTCTCTTAAAATTCCAAAGCTTGCATAATAGCAGCATGTAGTCCTCAAAAACCCATGTAATTTTTATATAATTATTTAAATTAAATAAAAACTCATTAAAAAAATCATATCTTCCCATCAGTATTTAATTGCATACAGTAGGCGTTCCTTTAATTTTTGATTGACAGCTGTCTCTTTTTATTTCAGCTAATCACAGTTTACAGACTGCCAAACATGGAACCTGATTGGCTAATAGCAGAAAGAGGTTCACAAAAGGGAAAAGTTCCTACTACATATTTAGAAGTTTTAGAATGAGGGTAGTTTAGTTTTAGGGAAATTTAGTCATTTTTTTGTAGATATGAAATAATGAATTTTAAATGATAATATGTTAAAATGGTGAATAAATTCCAATGGAAGAGGAAATTGTATGACATTTGAACATTTAACACCTTAAACAAAGAATGATTACAAAGGTAGCCTTTAAGGTTGATATATTCGTTAGACAGGGTTCTGTTTTTGCACCAGAATCATTTTCTTTTGTTACTATGTCTTGTGTATTATATTTATGTTTATATTTGATAAATTTCTTTGGTGTTAATAAAAAAATGTGTCATAGAAACTGTTATTTGCATTAGTGACAGCTTAGTGTTGTGTAAAAGTGAAATATTATTTTCAGTTTGATAAAGGTGAGAAAAAAAATAAATGAAAATTAAGTTACTTTAAGTATAAGAAATGAAAGAGCTAAGAACTCAAATTGATGAGTTACAGAGTAAGTCTAGAGTCCATACATTTGCAACATTCTCATGATTTATCAATTTTTATAAAGTTTTCACAAGAACCTATTTGAAAAAAAATTATTATATTTAATTTTTGTAAATGTCAAAAGGGTTGGTTTTTAAAATTTTAAAATGCCAGTGAAAATCGAAGAAGAAAGAAAGGACATTGTATATATCAACAAAATATTACTAACCTCTTTATGTGTTACCTTTTTTAGCTAAATTAAAAAAAACAAAAAAAAACCTATTACAATCATTTGTGCAATAGATGTTTTACAAATGTGTTTTTTTTTACTTGTTTTCCCTTAATTTATTTTTATTTTTTGAAATTGAAAGGCCCAGGGCATTTTTCTGTAACACAGGCAAATTCATTATGGACAAAAAATAGTGCTCTATTACGTGAAAATCATTTAAATTGACTACAACAATTGTTTCTTATTTTTTCCCCCCAAATACAAGTATTAAAGTTAAAAGATGCCTCTCCATAGTTTCAAAAAATAGTCAATTTTTTTCTCAATAAGGTTAAGAAAATTATTCCTATATAATTTTCATAAATTGTTAAAAACACCAGCTTTTCATATTATTGTGTGAAGTTAACCAACACATGTGTTAATATTGTTGAATTTATCACATTTTATTAGGTATTGTGTATATATAATATATGAAATTTTATTGAGATTATTCTTCTATCATATAAATATAATATAAAAATATATTAAATGTCATTCACATTTCCATGTGTTAAAAGCAGATACAAGAGTGTTGCATGTGCTAAGTTTTTGTGCTTTGTTATACTAAGTTAGTTTATTCATTGTTTATTATTTCATTAAAGAATGGGGATTTTAAAAGTTTGTGAGTCATCGCATGAAAAGTGGTCATGTTTATGTTAATGTAATTACATGCATTGCAGTTTTTTTTCAGTGACATTCCTTCACTCACAAGTTATGTTTTTACTTCAGTGATGGGCAAACATTTTGTTGCTACACCATTCTGCTACACATGGAAGGAAATTGGTGTTGAAATACATTGAATGATATGAAAAAGAAACAAAACCAATATTATTTCACACATTATTTTTTTAAATTATTTTTAGAACTTTAGGACTTGAACAGGGCTTACACACAAGTCCGAATTTGAAATGATTTGAAAAACTGATTTAAATGAAGGTGATACAACCATTTGCTTCAAGTCCTTACAGTTTTAGTTATCTTTGTATAATGTCACAAAGTAATTTCTTCACAAGTATATTGTAAGCAAGTATTGACTGGCTCTTCTTATATAAAAAGCCTAACATTTATTAAACGACACAATGTAGGAATTACTAGTTGTACAAAATTTAAATCTCTAGATTTTAGATGTGATAAAAGATTGTACATTTATTGAATGCTTTATAGATAGTAAATAACAGCTTTATGAATATGGCAAACAATTGAAGGTATCTATTTATCTTGTTAGGAGAGATAAATTTATTTTATTTGTTTAGACTTGTCTTTTTAAGGAGAGAGAACTGTATATTTTGTTGAGAGAGAGATCTTTGAACTTGGTTAAGAGAGATTATAAACTTTGACCTATTTTAAGAAAGATTTCTTTGCCTTCATTTTGTGAAGAAAAATTAACCTTTGTGAAGAAAAATAACGTTTCACTTTAATAATATATCTTTTTTAAGCTTTTAAGTTTAAAGATGCCCTAACCATTGCAGGTGAATTATTTCGGAGATCCCACTTTAGTAGAAAGTGTTAAAACCATTTATGATGATTTTGTATGTTTTGTTTTGATTTTACGGCACACCAATACAATTTAGGTCAAAAGGCGCCAAAACAGGAAAGATGGTTTTGGCTAACCTCTGGTGTTACAAACTTAAAGCAACACCGGGGGTCAAAACCACCTCACCTGCTGAAGCTTAGAGATGCATAGACTCCAGTAATTAGAACCCATTTAGGAGAAAAGGTTGCTGCAATTCACACGCCTCAACCCTTAAAGGCAACCCCACAGCAACAAGAATCATTTATTTTGATGTTAATATAAACCTTCTTAAAAACTAAAATTATGCTTTAAGCTTAATATTATTTCCATGTTTTGTAAATGTGGAATGTCCTTGTTTTAGAAAAAAATTGTGACGCAATAAGGTGTTTTTAAATTTTTCCATGTAAAAATTAGTTGTAGTTTGCTTAGCTTAAAATATGATAATTTTGTGTACTTTTTTCATGATAAATTATCATAGAAAAGTGTGACATGCAAATTCTTTAAGAGTTATGCCATGCTATGTCTTTAAGACGTATGAGGGAAAAACAACATAAATATGCAGAAATAGTACTGTTGTTGAAATGTTGTTGTTGTTGTGTTTTTTGTCCACCAAAAAATTGTAAAAGTTCTGTGATTTGGTTATTCTTATGTTAGTAATAGATTGTTTTGAACTATTTTATAAGATTTGTATTTTAAAGTTTTATAGATGAATAAATGATCTTTACCAGATGCATTTTCATGAGACAGTTGGATATATCACTCAGTGAGATATAAGTGATATCACACTGTCTAAAACTGATAGATTTATATAGAATTTTGGTTCCTGTTCTATATATTATGAAAAGTATAGCAAGGTAGATCCCACAATAGCTTAAGATTTTCATGATGTCTTAAAAATCAGGCTTATTTGGCACCATATAATGGTAATATATAATTATACAAATATGGTAATACAATCATGTATACATAAATTATTGCGGGTTGGCCTAGTGGTTAACCTGCCAGGCTAGTAATCTAAGGTTTGCTGATTGTGTGGTTTCAAACCCTGTCCGGGGCAAGCCATTGTTTCTTTAAGCAAGAAACTACACTCATTGCTTAGTACTGGTTAGTTCCAGGAACAGATTCAAGAGTGTTTCAGTTAGCTTGTAGCTTCCAACATGGTCAAACTAAAATAAATTTGTATAAACTAATATATATGAATATATAATTTGAATTTATTAAATATAGAATATATCTCCCTGTGACGTGAGAACTTTCAGTATTTTGCTTGCATAGCTCATGATTTTTGTTTTCATTTCTCAAATTAAAATCAATGCATTAGTTTACCAGTATTTGAAAATTATTGTTGACTAGAATTATTTGTTTGTTTGAATAGAATATTTATATTTGTTTCTGAATAGAAGAAAATATGTTAATTTTTGGGTGGGATATGTAAATTTAATACATGTAATAGAACGCTTTATGCTTTGTTTTTTATGCAAGTTTATGATTTTTAACATTAAAACATTAAGTCATTAATTACAACAATCAAACATTCTCTGTAATAAAATGTATTGAATAGAATTATTTAAACATTCCTTTTAAGATAAAGTGACGTTTTGTTCATTCCACTAAATGTGTTTTCTGTACTGTTCTTTGTGACTGATCTGAAACATGCTGAGAATTGTATCTCACTTTCTGTTATAGAAGATTTTACTCTGTCCTTGAAAATAATAACTTACTTATTTGCATGAATCGAATTTTGGTTCCCTCGTTTCAATTTCATGTTCAAGGTGAACCAACAAGAAAATTAAATCACTAATTTTGGAAATTTTCCTTGCCCCATACTATGGTCAAAAGTCTTGTAAATGAAATCCGAAAATCAGTCTAGAAATGAAAGGAAATGATTGGTCAATTTTTAACAACAAATCGCTAAATGTTTCACATCATGATTCGCCAATAATTTTGGTTTTTTAACCTTTTGACCCTTCAATCTTTGCTAGAGCAATCTTTCGGGGAAGTGTTTTTAACAATGTACAAGCTTTTTTTGCCTGGAGATGTGTATTTCTTTTTCCTATATTATTATAAAATCATACATACATGTGGGATAACTATGCAAAGGTGTTAATACATTAGTCATTGAATGTTGTAATATCTGTCACACTTGCATGCTGTTTCTACAGCCATTACCTATGGTTGTATGTTCTTTTTGCCATCTGATTTTAAAAGTAAAGAAATCTGAACTGAATTTTTTTTTAATGCTTATCTTTAAATCTTACTTCCTTAAGAAAGGAAATCACAAAATTTAAATGAAATTGATGACAAAGTGATAGTCAAGCAGAATAACAAAAAAGCATACCTGAGCATGAAGTTCTCGTGTCTACATGACTTTTCATATCTGTTATATTTTTTCTGATAAGCAAAACATGAAATAACAATTTTTTATTTTGTTGACCTATTTCAATGCATTTGTTTCACATTTCAATAAATTATGTATGTCAAAACTCTTGTTTGTTATTACTGTATGGTGCACAGTCAAGCCATCACATCGTTCCTTAGCAGGCCGTCAGGCAGTTTACCAGTACTAGTTGCCTTCACTTTCGCAAGTAACTGATAACTTTTATACATGCCATAGCAGAAGTCCAGTGCGAATGACTGTAGAAAGAATTTCATGATCAATCACATTGATAGTGACCTGTATCATCAGGAAATTGAACCTAGGTTGCCAGATTCACAGTCCCAATTTTCTTCTCTATCAAGCTAACAGGATGGCTTAGTACCCAATAGTACTTGTAGATCTTATTACATGTATATATTCAACTTGCTGATACAGGTTAACCTGTTCAGTTACAACATACTAGGAACATTAAAATATCCGGTATAGACCATTTGATACGTTAAAAAACGAAAGTTTTGCTTTATATTGTGAAACTGAATAAAAATATTTCATGCAATTTATTTGTCAAATACTATTATAAAAACGTTTTTGTAGAAGAATAATTGAAACCAAACCTCTCAAAAGGGTGTAAAAAAAATTTTCAATGGTACTAGTATTGCATATAGAATCAACTTTCTTTTCAATGTTTTTACTATAAATTTACAGATTGAGAGATACTGATCAAAAGGTTAGTTTTTGTATTTTCTGATCGAAGATCAGTAAATACAAAGCTAACATTCAATCTCTGACACAAGTTTCACGACAAACCTAACAACAAGTAGTTCTCAAAATAGCTTAAAACTAGCGATTTAAAAGAAAGAAATATTTTTATTTTGTTACAAGTATCCAACAAATTACAACGCATTCAAAGTTTAAAAGAAGCATTGGCTTAAAGAATTGTCAATAAATGCACAATCACAAATTACGCCGAAGAATATGATTCATTGAAAATGCTATTTTTAGCGACGTCGATTACCGAATACTACACAAATAAATCTGACTGCCGAGTAGTGGAATATATAGATTCTACATTGTCGGACTGTTTGGGCGAGAAGATTTTCGCTAAATTATTTACTTCAATTTTTTAACAACAAGTTTATCAAAATACCTCGAAATTAATAAGGATTACAAACCCGAAATGCAATGAAAGTTCTAAATTTAGAATGACTTGATTTTATTCAGGCATTATTTGTATAACTTCTCCGTGGTGCAGGGTTAATGCGCTCGTTTAGTGTGTGAGGTCTGGAGTTCAAATCCCAGTCGAGGAAACTTTTTTTTAAATTCTTTTTTAAGTGTCTTTGTCAAGGAAGTAGCCATGATATGCAAGGATAAAGTGTGGCTGTCGTAAAAAATGAACATAAATGATTTCTGATGCAACTCTAGTAATGCAAAATTCCATATGTATCAAACTCTGGTGCTTGCAAGATGAATTATATGGTACATAAAATAAACTTATACAGGAAAATACATACAGATATACAGTTTGATTTAGATTGAAAAGATCAGAAAATACCACAGAGCTTGCAGCCCTTTGATTATACAGATCAACAAGTTGTGTATAACTTCATAATTAGTGTTTCTGTATTTTGAATGTATCCTCTATTAAGTTTACACAACTTCTCCAGTAAGTCATTACACAATTAGAAGGGAGTTGTGGCATTGTAGTAAAGGTGTCTACCTCTGGGATAAAAGGTTTGACAATATTCCCCTAAACACCCGTTCTGATCAGTCTTGAGAATTATTACAAGACAGGTTAAAAGTCAAGTATTAAGGCTCCCAAGAAAGTACAAACTGATTGGAAGCAACAAGTGTTTGTATCAGCTGCAAGTGTTTGTATCAGCTGCAAGTGTTTGTATCAGCTGCAAGTGTTTGTATCAGCAGCAAGTGTTTGTATCAGCAGCAAGTGTTTGTATCAGCTGCAAGTGTTTGTATCAGCAGCAAGTGTTTGTATCAGCAGCAAGTGTTTGTATCAGCAGCAAGTGTTTGTATCAGCAGCAAGTGTTTGTATCAGTAGCAAGTGTTTGTATCAGCAGCATGTGTTTGTATCAGCAGCAAGTGTTTGTATCAGCAGCAAGTGTTTGTATCACACAATCTGGTACAATTTTATTTATATAGACTTGCAAGATGTGGCTTGGTGATTTATCCATGGGATAATTTAGGGCTCATTTTCGGGTATTCATACCATGATTTGAAGCTAGACCTATTGATGGAATGCTGTAATAACTTATTATAAGATGTTTGATCTCATTAGATTACACAATAGTCAATGTTGAAATGAGCAATCTTTAATGACCATGAAAAGGAAAGAAAATTAATTTTTTCACAATCACTTTAATGACTCATTATCACCATTCATGTCTTTAGAACAAGCTCAAATCAGTGGATCAAATGAACTGCACCTTTGCAGCTTCTTTGAAATTAAAATCAAAATTATAATATAATACGCAAGTTCATCATACACATTCAAAGGATTGCTCTTTGCTCCCATTTACTGGGTTGGAAAACTGCTGATGGGGATGTAACACTGACCAGTCTTGCTATATTTAATCGTACAAGAACCTCATTTATTAATAACACAATTTTGTGAAAACTTCACTTTACTTTCCTGGGAAAAAGGAAAAAGAATGTCGACCTTTGGCTGTATAAAAATTTTTTTTAAACATTTTCATTATTCACAGCAATATTTCCTCTTTTCTTCAATAGTTCTTTCAATAAATCTTTATTTTCACCACCAAGCTTTTCCCTTTCGGCAATAATCTGATTACGTAAGTTTTTCACAGCCTTCAATGCTTCAATTTTTACAATATCTTCTTTTGAAGGTTGTCCTTTTAGTAAGCTTTCAGTGAGAAGGTCCACCTGTTGTTTTTGACTGGCCTCCCTGGACAGAATCTGAGTACCTGTAACTAAATTATCCTGTGTCAACAACTCATTACAAATTTTAATGTTTTTAGCAATGTCTTCTACTGTCCACTCTTTTTTTAGAAGTGTGTGACTCAGATCGAATATGCCGTATCTAAGTCTGTGAATGTGTGTACACACCGCAGTTGATTTTAACTCGAAGCCAATATTATGTATCATCTCTGCAAGATAATCACAGTTTTCATCGATACCATGCACCTCTGAAGAAAAAAGAAAACACATTTTTAATATGAATAATAGCCCTACTGATTTAATAATTATACTAGTACAACAAATCCATTTGAATTAAAAGAAATATAAAGAAAAACAAAAACGTTTATTTAATATATGCACTTCAAACAGTAAATTAAGTTAGTAGTCACTCACATTATTTTTTCTCTCAATAAATCTTTAAATGAAAATATGATAATTCTGCTTTTCTTATTCTTCATACAGGTCATATACTTGTTCAACGAAGGGACTGAAAATCTTGTGCAAGACCAGAAACTGTACCTTTACAATGCTAAAACCAAACCGGCAATGCCTTGAACATCTTCCTATATTAGTAAATTCAGGCAATACAGCATAATTTAGAGTTAAAATTTTACTGTAAATTTTGAAAAAAATGTTTTACTAAAACTTACCTAAAGTGAAGTCTGGTGGGTTGAATTCGATACATTTTATTCCATATAATACAGGAATTCTGTTAGTGTAAGAAGGACGCACTAGACCCTTGCTTGCCAGCTCATAAGCCTCTTGAGTGTTTGGATTAACACCAGCACATCTAGTAAAAATAATGATAAGTTGATAAATTAATTGTATATAACAAGAGAGCTATTATAGCCCTAAATTTCTCATCTAAGATCTTTTATTATAATAGTCCATAATTTCTTCAATGGTTGTGTATTACGTCACACCAACACAGTGGATGTTATATTGCGACTTTCCCGCTTTACTGGTTGAGGAAGACCTAATGTGTCCCTCAGTGCATTATTTCATGCACAAACAGGCACCTGTGTAGAACCACAGAGGTTCTCTAAGCTAGCTGGATAGCTTCCCAACATGACAAAAACTTCCTAAATCCCTAATGGGATTTAAACCCAAAGCGATACAGAGCAAGTGATTAAAAGTCAACAACCCTAATCACTCGGCAACATATGCTCCTCACACTCAAGGTCATCCAGGGTCAAATTTTGATTCCACCTAACTTTTCTTGAGATTCACTAGGTTAAGCTATGTGCTATATTTGACAGATGGCAATGGACACCATGCCTTCATGAAAGCTAAACTTCGAGTACTTTGTACTTAGAGGAGGAAAAAATTCTCTTGCAAAATGATATTACTATTGCACTCAAAAATCAAAAACTCTACACTGTAAACCTTGGGAACCTATAAATATTTTCCTAGGTTTAAACGCCCAATGTTTATAAAAGAAAAAAAATATATCATGATCCATTTTACTCAGACCTTTATTTTTATTTCATTCAATTCTTTTCGTTGCTTACTGGTACACTGAATGAATCCAGCAAAATCACTATGAGTGTAATTAAATATGCCAAATTTCATAAAAATACACATGAAGTTCAGGTTTAAGGCACTCCACTTATCTTTCTTGACAAGAAGGGACTGGAAATATTATTTTTACTTGCTATTCACTTAAATAACCTTCAATAGTTTAAATCATGTAGACCTAATCACCTTACTTATACACTTACATGTAACAATATATTAAGTAAGATTGTAGTGAAATAATGATACATGTATAAATATCTTACTCAAACATTAACTTCTGATGAGCATACTGTGCTGCACTACAAACTTTATCCATCTTCCCTTTGTTTATGTGAGCTGAAACAAAAACAAGAGCAATTAGTGATCTCATATGTTGCCTCATGATAGCCAATTGCATGTTGTAGCTACTGTGTAGCAGGAGACACAAAAATCATTAACTCGGTAAAACACATCTCAGTCAAAAATCATTCAAGCAGAAAACCAATGTAATATGCACACATACTTGAGCTACCAATCATTCCTGTAAAGTTTCATTGAAATTGCATTAGTGGTATAAGAATAGTAGTCAAGTAGACAAACTTTAAAATTCAAAATCAATTAATGGCCATAAAACAGATGGACAAAGTGACAGCAGGACAGTGTATCAGACATACAAAGAAAAATCTGTATCCCTTACTGAAGTAAGTCATATAAACATAATTAGGAACTCCATAGTAAAAATAGAATAAATATCTACTAGTACAACAGAAAGAAGGCCAGGATGATTCCCTATCATTTGTGAAGTATCCATGATATATGCATCTTTTTCAAGTTATAGACTGTGTCATGTTGCAGAATAACTAATATGACTGCTGCAAGTTTCAATTGGCATATATGCCAAATAACAAAAATTGAAACTTAACTCACTTTTGAACAAAAAGTGGTAATAAAATGGCAAACTTCATTCATGTACAGACTCAATCAAACTGAGTCTGCAATTTTTATGGAATTTTGCTGTTTTTTATGCTTCTGAGGGATCACTTTTTTCCAGACATTCAGTCACTGCATATAGCATATACATTTTCGAATCTCAGAATTTCTTTGCGAGCAATTAAGACAAAATGCTTACCATAAGTAGTCCGTTTTACAAATTTACCATCTGTGTAGCATGTATCTGTTGAGTAACCTAATCTTCCCTTCACATGATACACCTGCAGTTAACATCAATATAGTGAAAAAACAGTTCAGTAATGAAACAAGGGTGCCATAGTCACAAAATACGCCCGTTTACGAAAAAGCTTTAGATGGAGATGGGGGCATTATGGATAAGTGTTATCTAGCAAGCAAGTTTTTATTCTTGGCACTGTGTTGTTAAATGAACCTTAAAACAAATCAATAGGGAAGATATGCACAGAATGTGTGACCTTGACCTTGGTCGCAGGGACCTGAATTTTATGCACAGCACTCAGCCTCACAATGATGAACATTTGTGCCAAATTATATTGAAATCCCTCTATGCATGTAGAAGTTTTGCTCCAGACAAGTGTTTTTCTATGAGCTCTAACTGTGACCTTCACCTTTGACCTAGAGACTTGGTTTATGTGCAGGGCACTACGTCTCATGGTAGTGAACAATTCTATAAAAGTAACATTAAAATTCCTCCATGCATGTAGAAAATATGCTCCGGACAACATCTGGATATTTAATCATCTCCAGTGACCTTGACCTTGCAAATATTAACCTAAATTAAATGTGTAACACCTGTAGTCATGATAGTTACCATTTGTGCTACAATCCATCAATAAATGATGACTAAATGGTCCCTATAACCATCTTCAAATTTTTATCTGAACTTTGACCTCTATGTGTAACCTTGACTTTGGTCGCAGGGATCTGAATTTTGCATGCGACACTCAGCCTCACAATGGTGAACATTTGTGCCAAGTTATATTGAAAACCCCCTATGAATGTAGAAGTTTTGCTCCAGACAAGCGTTTTTCAATGAGCTCTAAGTGTGACCTTGACCTTTGACCTGGAGACCTGGATCATGCATGGAGCAATACATATCATGGTGGTGAACATTTCCATAAAGTATTGTAAAAATTCTTCCATACATGTAGGAGATATGCTCCAGACAAAATCTGGATATTTCACCATCTTTAGTGACCTTGACCTTGCATATATTGACCTAAAGTACATGTGTCACAGCCGTAGTCATTATAATGACCATTTGTGTTACAATCCCTCAATAAATGATGATTAAATCGTCCCTATACACATCTTCATATTTTTATCTTTTTTTAAACGGGCGTATAAAAAGTACATGTAATTTGATAACTAAAAAATTCTGATTTAAGATTTTATTCTAGGGAAATACATTTCATAACAATTCTTAATCTTTGAATGAGCTGAACTGATATTTACTTGAAAATTAAAATATAATTAAATTTCTATGAGAAAGTATTTACATTTGATAAGGTAATTACTGTATGATCTTTATGAACAAATACCAAGTCTACAGAACACCATAGTTATCACAGTTAAGAATCTTGACCAATGAATGAAACATGTGTAAATAAATGTTACATTCTTTACAACATACTCAAGTCCAAGAAAGAGGATTATTTCATGCCCTTTGATTAAATTCAATTTTTAGAATTGAATGTGAAAATAGATCAAGGGGAGTAATTGTGTAAGTCATTTATGAACAAAGTAATAACTTTGTTGTCTCCCTTTGATTAAATTCTATTTACAAAATCTGGATATTTCATCATCGTTAGTGACCTTGACCTTGTATATATTGACCTAAATTATATGTATCACAGCCATAGTCTTGATAATGACCATTTGTGTTACAATCCCTCAATAAATGATGACTAAATGGTCCATATACACATCTTCATATTTTTATCTGAACTTTGACCTCTATGTGTGACCTTGACCTTGGCCGCAAGGACCTGAATCTTGCACGCGACACTCCGCCTCACAATGGTGAACATTTGTGCCAAGTAATATTGAAATCCCTCTATACATGTGGAAGTTTTGCTCCGGACAAGCATTTTTCAATGAGCTCTAAGTGTGACCTTGACCTTTGACCTAGAGACCTGGTTCATGTGCGCGACACTGCTCCTCATAGTGGTGAACATTTATATGAAGTTTCATTAAAATCCCTCCATACATGTAGGAGATATGCTCCGGACAAAATTGGACGCCGCCCGCCCGACCGCCCGCCAGGGGCGTTCCCATAATACGTCCCGTTTTTCAAACGGGCGTATAATAAAAAAGCATATGAGCCACATCACGACAAAACCAACATAATGTGTTTGCGACCAGCATGGATCCAGACCAGCCTGCGCATCTGCGCAGTCTGATCAGGATCCATACTGTACGCTTACCAACTCTATTACAAGTAGAGAAACTGACAGCAAACAGCATGGATCCTGATCAGATTGTGCGGATGCGCAGGCTGGTCTGGATCCATGCTGGTCGCTAACGCACTATGTTGGTTTTGTCGTGACGCGGCTCATATCAACAAAAGGTGTCCATTAGACAACTATCATAACTATTACAACTGACTACTTATACTGTTTGCCTGGATTTTTGGGATGATGGTCACTTTCAAGTATTTGAAGTTTCAAAGGAATAACTCAAAGGGTATAGGAAATAAGTGGGGTTAGAGAAAAACTTGACTGGAATTCTAAGTTGAAAAGGGGCATAATTTTGTCAAAATCCATGACAGAGTTATGTCCTTTTGTTTGGAAGTGGGGATAATGGTGCATTAGCCCTGTCGTTTACAAAAAAGTAATCATCTCATAAAAAGATTTGTATTAAAACTTCCGTAATATAATGCGGAGATATACCGTTAAATTCAGACTGCTACTTTAAAATGTTTGTTGATTTTCTATTGATGTATGGTTGACCACATGGGGGAGTTTCTCATGCAAAAATTGTACTTCCAATTTCGTCATAATGAGGTTGTAGATTTATGGCTTATAAAATTCGCTTATAAAACTAATTATGGTTTTCTGGACACCAAAATATGAAACATATTTAATTAATGAAATGTAGCTATTTCTTTCTTTATGAAATTTATTTAATGTAGCTTTAAATGACCTGACATAACAATACCAGTTACAGCAAGGAAGATCAGAAAGAAGTTTTACCCTGAGGTATTTTGCCATCTTGATCATTTTCATATTCAATGCTGCATCCTCACCAATGCTACATACTGTAAAACAGAAACAGCATTAACCCATTATTTAATATATCTTATAAGATGCTTGGGACTAAAATTGAAACTTTTATGAAAAACATTTAATTTGATGACAACAAAATATATATTAAACTTTAATGTTTTGAAATAAAAACACTACAAAAATTTTGATTTAACATATGAAATTCTTTATTCCAAAGATCATGTTCATGTAAGTTTTTTTCAAAATGTACCAGTCAAATGAAACCCCCAAGGCTATTAGCCCTCCATCTCAGGGAGAGAACAGAATTTCTGGATTTTCAAACCCCTGATAGAGGCTCACCTGTCCTGTGAGGACAGTCATATGGAAAATCCCCACACTATCAATTTTGACATACAGACATTTTGTCATCAACAGATAATTATGGAATTATCATTTTACGCTTAACCTGAATTTCTGAAAATGGTCCATCTTCCGTTTTTGGAACAGACTCACTTGTAAGTTGTAAGAAGTATAAATTGAAAATACAATTAAAACAGTATTAGTGCCAAAGCGGTAAATCACTTTCAGTCATTCAAGCAAGAGGTAAGAGTCAAAGTTTTCTATTCTTTTATACTGACAGACCTCATTTGTTCTAACCAGATCATCTTAAACTTTTTTTGTTTATAATGATACCCAAAGCTATCATTTCCTTGGCACTGGTTTATAATCACAAATGCTTTGTAGCTGTTTAAGATCAAATGTGTTTAAAGAAAATTTGAGCGGTATGGTACGAAACATGGGAAAAGATTTGTGAAGTTATCTGGACTAACCATGACAATACTTATACAACCTGACCCTTCTCTCTATCTCATCTGCAAATTGCTATACTGTATCTAAGTGATTATATAGAAACATGTCACCAAGCACTGGAAAAAAACAACAGCAATACAAAACAATATTTATGGGATGATGTATTCTGTCAGTATTAAGGATTTTAAATTTATAAATTTGGAGCTAACAAATAATGTCTATTGATGATATTAACATGTCTTATTTTCCAATATGAATTATTAACCCATTACTTCAAGCATTTTGTGAAAAATGGCTGTTTTCATTGAAAAGTCTCCCGTTACAAGTTCAAATTGCTATAATACTATAAAAACTGCTTCGACACTAATAAAACTTGGCACAAATGTTGACTGGACCATTGCCCTTGCAACAACATGCTCGGGCTTAAATTTGCTGTTACCATGGCAACGAGGGGACATCTCAAAATTGCCAAAAATCACTATTTTGCTTTGATTTTTTCCGTCATTGCTGCAACTTCTCAATGGATTGAGATAGAGTCAAATGCTTTTCAGCGTTGGTTACACGTTACCTTATGATCAATCTGGGGTCATTTATAGCCTCACACAAGTCCAAAATTTTCTTGGCGATGAGGGGGACTCCGTCCCCCTTCAAACCCCCCAAACAGAAGGGGGCACATCCCCCTTCTGGCAACCCCCTGATGTATCTTTTGGTTGGGGGACCGCGCCGAAAAAGTGGTCACTTTTTTTAACAACATTTCTCAAACAAAAACAAGTGTTAAGGGCCTAAATAATGCATTTTTTCACCATTTCAGACAACAAAAAGGGGGGGTGAAAAAGGCGTTAAAAGGCGTGTATATGAAGTAATGGGTTAAATGAGTTATCATGCGTAAAAAACGGCAAAATTTTAAAACTCACTTGGTTTGACTTTTAAATTAAATCACAAATAATAATACAGGAGTATATGAAAGGGAATCATTCAAAATTAATATGACAATATTCATTACTCTGTTTACTAGGAGGTTCAACTTGTGTATTCATATAAACAAGGCGCTACCATGTTTCTATTGAACAGTTACTAGAATGTTAAATATTCTATGTAAAAAAAACCAGTGTATGATTCTTTTTCTTGTATATTACATAATCATGAATTTGAAAAGCATTGCAAAAAAATTTTTTTTAAATATCCCTTTTAGCTTATAGTATAGTGTATGAAATTACATCTTCATCTTATAACCAAAATAACACTAATTTTAGAAAGCAAATCATTCACAAAGGCACTGAAATGACGTCAATTTATAGTACACAACTTATTTAACACAACAAAAAATCTCCAAGCACCAGCAAGGACTAGAAAATCTAGTTTGATATACATGTACAAGAAAGAAGAAGCTGTTTAACTCAGAGAAATTGTGTAATCTTGTTGCTTTACCTAGTTTATGCTTGGAGTAATCAACTATTGGCTCTGGTACATTGGTTACCATGGGAACACCTGAAGGTCCTTCAAGCTGATATTTCTTTGCCTTTTCTCTCTCCATCTGTTTAATCTCATAATCATAAGCTGGTAGTTTATTCAACTCTGAAAATAAATATATCTGATTTATTAATCTAAGGAAATTGGAAATTGTCTGAGGACAGCGACGCTCGACTGTTAGAAAAAGTTGTCACAAGGGTGTTTCATTGAGTGTAATAATGCTTACCTATATGAATACATAAAATTGTCCGAAAAGGAACAAAGGCTTGTTATTAAGATGTTTTATTGAGTTAATCACTGCTTTATTATTATGAATGCATAAAAATATCACAAAAGTATGCAAAAACTCTTCAGTAGCTTACAAGCAAAAACTAAAGCAAGAATTCGAAAAAAAAACGAAAAAGGGGCATAATTTTGCAAAAGAAGCAAATTTTCAGCGTTATTTGGACTTGTGCCAATTCATGTTAGATAATCACGAGAACAAGTGTGTGAAGTTTCAATCCAATTTCCCCCCACTTCAGTAGTTATGTTGGATTATACCATCTTATACGCAAAAACTTAACCAAGAATTTTTTGTCCAAAAGGGGGCATAATTATGCAAAAAAGCAAATCAGAGTTTTGGGACTTGTGCCAATCATGTAAGATAATCACAGAGAACAAGTGTTTGAAGTTTGAATCAATTCCCTAATCAGTAGTTATGGAGATACCAGCTTACATGCAAAAACCACAGGGACGCCAATGCCGACAAATGGCTGACTGCATTAGCTCAATTATTCTGCAAAAAGTCGAGCTAAAAATAAGCTGGTTTGGACAGATTTTCACAATTTTACAAATGTAGGTAATTTTCAATATTTAATAGAGAATTTTCAAAAGTTAAGTTTTATCTAACATAATTCAATTGGGAAAAAGTCCTACTAGTATATTCAACATTTATTTTGTGCAAAAAAGGGTATCATGACGAAAATTTGCATGAGCAGGCAAGACTGGCTCTTTACTTGTGGCATTTTTAGTTCCAGCATTGTAACTTTAGCCTATCGTAACATAGTAAGACCCGAAAGCAAAGCCAGCAATTTCAATACACTGGAGTTCTTATTTTCTTAAAGCTGCACACCTCCAGATGAGCCAAAATATTTGTTCAAAATAAAACTTGAGAAAAAAAGAACACTGATATTTTAAGAAAAGTAAAACACTTTTGTCAATTTTGGCACTTGTATTAAATGTGTTATAGCTATAAATATTTACTTGCCTCATTCAATAACGACTGAAAAAATACAACAATGCTCAGTTAGACACAAAATTGCTGATAGAAGCATGTTCCTCTTCAATATACTGAGAAGTTTAAGAGGGTCATGACCCCTGGGCCATATTCATAAAAGTTGTAATGGAATTAGAAGTCTATTGTCAAGTGTTTTGTGTAAAATTGCTCCTAAACAGCTGAAAAACAGACAGACTGTAGAATAACCATGTCAACAAAAGATATTTCCTTTCAGCTGTGTAAAAAAAGAACATCAAATAGTTCATATTTCCTTTCAGCTGTGTAAAAAAAGAACATCAAATAGTTCAAAGTTGTATTACCTTTTAAGACATTTCTTTTTAGAGTTCGTATAGCTTGCAACGTATTGTATCCTGTTGGCTTATAAATACAAAATACTCCTGACAAATGATTATTGTAGGCATCAAGAGCGTTTTTTATTTGGCTTAGCATCACTCGAGTAATCTTCATTTTTTTGTGTTTCTCTCTACCTGAAGAATAAAGCAGAATTAAATGAGTGTTGGCAAGACGATTTTTTTTCTACATATCCATGTCAAGCTGTCTATTTTTTTACTCACTCTCTTCTGCGGTTACACAATTAAGAATTCCGATATCAAGCCAGGACGAATTTTCCGGTTATTATCGGGGCCCAATTCCAATCACTTGCATGGTTACAGCCTCTTTTCCCTATTTCAAACAATTCCAAACTGCAGCAATCAATCAACTGATAAACTCGAGTGATGAAAATCAACATGTTCTTATTTATTTTGGAAGAGGGAAAAAGGATAAATAGTAATTGATTATAACTTAAATATAATCTAAAAGAAAAAGTGAAAAGCACGTAATAAATAATAATAAAAACATTAATGATTAAAAAACCAAAATAGTAAACAAAAATAGATACATAAAGAGTTGAAAATCTAAATTGATCTATCAGAAATAAGTCCACAAATTAACGCAAGAGACATAATAGAGAAATACAAATGGAATACTGGAACCAAAGCTCCAGCTACATGTAGCTCTTATGAATGGACCCCTTGGTTCTTTTACATGCCCAGTGTATAGCAGTTGGATACATTGCAAGGAGTTCTGGATTTCGTTACCAGTTACACCCTCTTAGTTATAGGCAGGAAAACACTGAAAGTGTCTTGAAAACCCCAAAGGATCGAACCCCCGGACCTCGGGTGAAGCCAGGGGTCTAACCAACTAATATTGCGCCCCCCTTAGATTCACAAAATGCTTCACTTTGTTTTTGATCAGAGCTGGGTTTATACTTTTTAAAGTTCTTAGATTCCCCCGTTGGGGTTTTTATTAACGATTGGTGATTAAAAAGTTTGATTTTTTTTTCAGCATGTATTTAAATAATCCCCTTCCCCCTTTTGAAAATTCGCTTTTTTAAAAAAAATATACGAACCCTTTTGAGTGAACATCAAGCCATTCCATCCCTTTTATATTTTTCACAGAAATTTAGCAATTTTAAAAATTCTTTTTTTGGGGGGTATCCCATGGACCACTCCTCGTTTGTTTTACCCCATGGCTTGCATTAAACAGGTCCCCCCTGTTTTCCACCCTTTTTAAATATTTTTTTTTTAAAAAAATGGTTTGGCCAGTATGTCTACGTCCCGCGAGGGTTGGGGGTTTGATAATATTTTAAGGGCTTTTTAAAAATTTTCGGGTAGTCTGACCCATTTTTATTGGTTTAACCCATAATTTCGCGATTTAAAAATATTCTTCCTTTCGTCAGCTCATGTTGTTTTATTGTTAACTTCCAGGGGACTGTTTGTTTATGTGTTTCAACCTTAAATTCCTTTCTGTTTTATTACATTATTCGCTTAAATTTTTTCCCAAAATTCGTATTTTTAACTATTTGGACTCCTCTAGACTATCCCCCAAGGGGTTCTTTTTTTTCCCAAAATTGGGTTTTTAATCTGTGTTTCAACAAAAATAATATTCATTACAAAATATGTTTTATAAGCATCAATAAAAATTTTAAAAAAATCTATTTTCCAGGATTAATAATATTGTTTTTTGGGACACCGGTCTTATGGTTTTTTTTACACTTGTTGGGTCTTTTCCTAAACAGCCAATTTCAATCAAGTGAAACCTGAAAAGGGATTATTTTGAAAGTTTTTTATGTTGATAAAATTACCATTTAAATTGTTTTGTTTTTAAAAAATTGTATTATTTTTAAACAATTATCATATTTTTTGGGGTCCCTTTTTGATGGGGTTTCCCCAGTTTTTACTTTATTTCAATTCTTCCCAGGTTCACCGAAAACCCATCGGACTTCTGACTTTTTTTCTTTAAAAAACCTATATTTTTTTAAAAAGGGGTTTTACAACCCCAAAATTTGCAAAATTCATAAAAAAGCCCCCTAAAAATAGAAGTAATTTTTTCCCAAATTAAATTTTGCCCCAAACAGCTACTCCCCAAAAATGGGGGGGCACAGGTGAAATGTTGCGGGGCCATACTTCAAAACCCCCCCCCGCCCCATCTAAAACCCAAAAACCCTTTAAACATCATCCAAACATCATAAGTATTGACAAAAATTAATTTTTATTGGAAAAAAAATAAAAAATTATGACTCTAAAATGGCTTAAAAAGGTTATTTCTACTTAATTTTTTTATTTTTTAATCTACATTATTATAAAAAATGTTTCTGCTTTAACACAGTTTTATGGCAATAAAAGCAACCCAAAATTTTACAATTTGACTTTTCGGAAAACGGATTTTAGCTCTTGGGGAATTACACCAAATGAAGGTAATAACACAGTTACATATCAACAGTTACATGAATTTCAATTTTTTCTATCATCCATATATTACCGTTTAGGTTGAAAAAAAATTTTAATGTTTTTTTGAAAATTATCAATTTCCCTTTTAAATCCTATAGCAAATTTTTGAAAAAAAAAAAATTGGTTTGTAATTGAAAATCAATAAATTTAAACAGACGTAGGGGGAATTTTCCCCATAATAAAAAGGGTTATTTTGCGTAAACTTGTGTATTTAGTTTATTTTTGGAGAATTTTTCCCATACAATGATTTTCAATTATTTTCTAATAAAAAAATAACTTTTTATTTAAATTCTATTTTAAAAAAAGGCCCAAAACGTCGATTAGCTATTACACTCCTTTGGGGTTGAAATTCCCCAGAGCTATGTACAAAAGTACCAAAAAACCGTTTGCTATTTTTTGAATTTGTAAATTTTACAAATCCCATCACTGTATAAATATTTCCTTATAAAATTTTACCAAAAAAAAGTTAAGGAAGGGGAGGTGCATAACCATATTGTTCTCTTTTGCGACCAATAGAAGGGAATTTACGGTTTTGGTTATTTCCCCTTAATTTTTTTCCACAAAAATTTGAGTTACATAAGCAAAAAGGGTACTGTCACAAAGAGGGTACCATTTTAAGTAGATTTCACAAAGAGGGTCCCTTTTAAGTAGTTTTGGGAAAAGGGGGTACCTTTTAAAAGGGAAAAATTTTCAAAAAGAGGATACCATTAAAAAAGGGATTTGAAAAGAGGTCCCATTTAAGAGATTTCCCCCAAAAGAGGGTCCCATTAAAAAGATTTTGGCAAAGAGAGTACCTTTTTTAGAAATTTTCAAAAAAGGGGGTACCTTTTAAGAAAGATTTCACAAAGGGGGTCCCAAATTTAATTTTCACAAGGGTACCATTAAGAATTTTGTAACTACATTTTTGGTTTTCCCAAAAAATACCATTTAATTTTCCGTTTAAGTAATTCCCAAAATTAGAAAAGGGAAGCCAAATTGGGGGGCCAGACAACTGATAAAGTGAGGGTTTTTTATATTATTTAACCAGTTTTTAAAAAAAATTTTTTAGGGCCCCCGCCATGTAACCCGGGGTTTAAGTTTCCCCTTTCGCCCTGCATTCTTCTTTCCCCATCTTTCATTTCCTTTCATTTTTTCCGTTCATTATCTAATCAAAATTATTTTCATTTCCTGTTTTTTATCTCCCCAACGACAAAAACCTTTTCAACTAAAAATTTGCCCATATGATATTTTTTTAAATTTCCCCGGGGCCTTTTTTTGGGAATTTTGGCATTTAAATGATTATTGCGATAATCCCCCTTTTTCACTTTAAAAAAATAAAAAAATTTTACAGTTTTTCATTATTCCCCAACAGTGTTACATATTAAACTAAATTTACATTATATTAAAAAAATGGGATCAATTGGAATTTTTCAGGGTTCGAATGATTTTTTGCAATTTGCCCCTTTTCACTTTGAAAAAATATAAAATATTTTGGGAAATTTTAAGCATTTTAAATTTTAAATTTTGGTTGGGTTTTAAAATTTTTTGGGACAAAACTTATTTTTTCTTGAATGTTGGAAAATTTTTAAATTTTCCCATTTTCACCCACTCATACTTTTTAATGTATGTAGCCATTTTTTGCTCCCAAAATATAAATATGCTTTTTTTAAAAAGGTTTAAAAGACTAAAATTTTCGGGCCTTTTAACTTTGGTTTTTGAAAATTTGGTTTGTTTTAAACATTGAAAATTTTTGGGGGTTTTGAATTTTAAAAATAAAAAAAAAATTTTGTGCAAAAAAATTTTTGGGAACCTAAAATATTAACATCTAAATTTTGGGCTGTTTTCCGGGGGCATCGGGGCATATGACACATTTCTAGTTTTTATTTTGAAAACCCAATTTTTTTTGAATGATAAATTGTTTATTTCAGTGATGTAGTAGGACATTTGGTTTCCCTTTTGGGTTTCCAAAAGGGGAAAAATAAAAGTGTAGCAAGAATTTTCGGGTTTTCCTTTGACAACAATAAACTGAAAAATTGGGCTAAATTTACTTGTAAAATAAAATATTTAGAAAAAAAAATTATCAACATAAAAATTGTCCAATAAAATAATATGTTAGACTTTCCCAATATTTTTACACTTTTAAGAAATAAGCCTAATGTTTATTCTTTTTTAAACATAGACATTAAGCTTATAAAATGAAAAAAAAACTGTTTTTCATTTTTTTTGTTTACCAACCCCCCAATTAACAATGGGTTTTGCAGTAGGGCTGAAGGGGTTGACAATCTGTTTTCAGAAATTTAAAAAAGGAATTTTGGTAATTGTATTTATTTGTTTTATGGTGAGTTTTAATTATGTACAAAAATATTTCACACCCCGGTAATCCGGGATACTTTTTTTATAAAAAATTTTCTTTTGGGTTTTAAATTTGCATTCCCCTTTTGGAAAATCAGTCCCATTTTTGGAAAATTTAAAAGGGTTAAAAAAAATATTTCCCTTTGGAACATGGGTAGTTTATCATTCAAATTTTGAAAATAAAAAAAAAAAATAACAATCTATTTAGGGGTAACTCAATTTTTAAATGGTTTAAAACCCACCCCGGGGGGCGATTGTTTTCCTTGACAAGAAACTTTACATTTCCACCCCTTAGATTGATTGGGTTTCCCGGGAACAGATTTTAGTTTTCCCAATAAACACCCAACCCCATGAAAAATTTGAAAAAAATTTTAAATAAACAAA